GCCGGACACGACAGCTAGGCGCGGGGCCAGGCGGGGTGGTCCTGTCCGGGCATGAGACCCCTGCAGAAGTGATTCCCCGTGAGCTGCGCATGCGCCGACTGAACAGGGGCCATCGGAGCTCAGTGGAAGAAATGCTAATATTAGGTACCTTTATTGTAAAAAGACAGTTTAGGCAGGTAGGAGTCAGTGATCGAGACTCCCTTGATTTGGCCTGATCTTTCCTCCAATCAGTGATCATAAAGGGATGCCATAGAGTGAATGTTTGTGTCGCCCAAAAATTCTTATGTTAAATCTTAACCTCCAAGGTTAGGTATTCAGAGGTGGGGTCTTTGGGAGGTGATTAGTGTTATTTTAAATAGTAATTATGTACGTAATAATCAACAATGAGATTAGTGCCCTTGTAAAAGAGACCCCAGAGAGCTCCCTTGCCCCTTCCACCCGGTGAGGACACAGTGAGGGATGTGGTCTATGAACCAGGAAGCAGGCGCTCACCAGACACGGGATCTGCTTGCACCTTGATCTTGGACTTCCAGCCTCAAGAAGTGTGAGAAATAAATTTCTGTTGTCTATAAGCCCCCCAGACCACAATATTCAGTTATAGCTGCCCAAATGTAGTAAGACAGGCAATATTAACTTTACATGTATTTCTTCTCTTTTTATTTACCCTTACTTCCCTCTCTTCCTTCCTTCCTTCCTTCCTTCCGGCCTAATCTTGTTGTTCTTCCATTTAGTAGATTCCTCTTCCTGTCCTGCTCTCTTTCCCGTGTCAAGCTTTCCTGAAGTGGACTTCCTTTCTCCTTAGGAGCTCTCTCTTCTTTTCTCTCTTAGGCCTGGCTCTTAGGGATGATTCTCTGAGTTTTGGTGTGTGGTACCTACCCCTCTCTAGAATCTGGCTTCACGGTTCAGCATCCAAATCCATCTCCACTTGCTTTGCAGTTGTCTTACTCTGTGTTCTTCCATGAGCAGCACCAGACCCAAGGGTTCTCTGGTAAGGAGGTGTATTTGGGAGGTGACCCTAGGAAGCAGGAGTGAGGAGCAGGGAGAGTGGGAATGAGAAGGAGGAAAAGCCAGTTAGGAGTGCCCCACGGGTGTGACGGCAGTGGGCACCCAGGGCTCAGTCCTACAGAATGAACTTTAGAATTGCCCCCGTGGAGAGTGGGAGGCGGGGCCGTTTATCCACAGACCCCCCCCTTCTCCACTGGTTGAGATTTGCTCCTCTGGGACCTTCCCCTTCCCCTACCCCTTCTGGCTGCCCCATGTGGGCTGAGAGGCTTCCTAAGGGGCCAAGGGGAGAGGTGCAGGGAGCCCTGTGCACAGGCATCCGTACCACAGCCGTGGCGATCTCAAGGAGGGTTGTCTGGTACAGCAAGTCTCACTCCTTTTGCTTCTCTGACTCTTTAGCACCAATAACAACAACATCATCTATTGACTGCTTTTTTGTATATCAGTCATTGGGCTAATAGCTTCCTAAATATTTTATTATCTAATCTTCTAAAGACTCTAAACACTTCTAAAGAAGGGGCTATTATATTCCCATTGTACAGATGACAAACTGAGGCTCAGAGTGGTTAAATAACTCACCTAAGGGTTAAGCATCCTCTACGCTGTGAGCTGGGGTTGGAGATGAGGGCTGGGCATGAAAGCTCCGTTACCTTCTTTACATCCTTGACTCTCCCATCTTCAGGTCTGAGCGTTCTCGGGGCAAGGACTCTGGAGGGCTGAGGATGTCAATATGCCAGTGAGCTTAACCTGGGTGGATCTGCTGGTCAGAGAGCACCAGACTCAGATTCTGTTGGTAAAAGCCTGGAATGAATCACTCCATGTTCTTTTTGGGAAAGTGGGGTATAATTTTTTTGGTCATGTCCTGCAAAAATCTGGGATGGGGTCTTCTGAAATATTCTGCTGGGTTGACCTGACTTCTTTCTCCCTAGACTCTGCAAAAGTCCTGCCTTTGGAGGTTGAACATGGTCAGATGCTGCCCCCAGAGTCTGCCAGCTATTTGGGAGATGTGAGTAGTGCCTCGGGGGAGAGCAAGAGAGTGCCCAAGGATGGAAAAGGTTCTGGAAGGATAACTTGAAGAACATGCCCTTCCACTGTGACCCTGACAGTCACCTCACAGAGCAGGGAATGACATTTTCAGGCCTCTGCTCCAAGACCCTTGTTACTGTGGGCTGACTTCCAGAGCCACTTAGGGATGGTGGGGGCAGGGGGCTTCTAAGGCTCATGACTGCTCGGAAACAAGACATCTCAAACGGTCCCAGATGGCCACCAAGGGGCAAATACATCGTCCCCGAGCCCTGCTACCCATCTCAGGATGGCAGAGACTGGGGCGGGTCAGGGCACGGACACCTTTCTAGGTCCTTGGGGATGAGTGCAGAGAAAGTCTTATAAGAGAAGGACCATGGCCCGGACTTTTCAGCAACGTGGACCAAAAATTCTCTCTTTTTTATTTAAGTTGGTTTGCATCGGATTTCTGTCGCTTGCAGCTAAAGAAATCTTGACTGGTACAGAGTCTAGCTCCTTCCCTGAGCTGCCAAGTGACCCCCTTAGGCTGTTCCAGCCGTATCTGACAAATCTTCCCCCGCCCCCCCAGCCCCCTGCGGCTTCCCCTTCTTTGGGAGCTCGGTCTCGCTTTCCTCCACCACTTAAACTAGTACTCAGGAATGGGTTAGCATCTGTCAACTATACTTTGAAATCGCCCATGGAAGTGACTGCTTGATGGACGACCCCCCCCCCGCCCTGCCCCCAGTCCTCCCCAGAACTTGGGTGGAAACTGTCAGGTTCTAACTGCACCACAGAGATGATTGTCTGTGCCTACAACGAGATAAGTCTTGTCTTTTCGAGAGTCTGTGCCCCTGGTTGGGTCTGCTGTTGGGCTGCATGTTGTTGATTGTGTGCTTGCGGGTTCTTGTTTTTGTTACTCTTTTTTGTTTAAAAAATAATTTGGTGCTTCTCAAGGCTGATTTGCAGACCCACACTGACTCTGGTGCCGAATGTGCTTGTTTTGCCAGCTCAGTGCTTTGGGGGAATCCTTCAGCCTGATTAACTGGTAGCCGGCTGTGGCCAAGCCTGGGCAGAGCTGACCCCTTGAGGGGGGGAGGCCAGCCAGGCCTTGCCCTGTCACACACAAATAGCTCTTCTAATGCCCCTGCAGAAAGGGTGACAGAAAACAAAGACCAAGGGGCAAAGTTAATTTATTTGGATTTTTTTTAACAACAAAAAAAAGACAATCATTTACATTTTAGAACTTTCACACTCTGAGAATGAGCTGTGGTGCCAGGTTTTGGTGAGTGAAAGGCTTAAGAGATCCCAGCCTGACTGGGTGGTAATGATTACCTAGGTCCTATTCTCCAGAACGGGTCTGACTCTGCCCATCTCATGAATCTCTCTGTTCTAGAACTTTCGATTCTTAACCCTTTCGATATCAAACTTCTTTGCCACTGAAGGCCTCTTCAACATGTCCCTTTCCCTCCCGTCTTTCCTTTGTCTGCCTTTCTTTGTAACTGGCTGCACATACCTTCACCCCGGTGTCTCAGCACCAACCAAACAGCCTCCTCCCTCCAGACAATTCACACCCCTCGCCTCCCACAAAATCACTTCCAGCTCCTCTCTCCCAGCAAGCCTTCCTGGTCTCCCCTGCCCAACACTATTGGCACCTCCGGGGAGCATTACCTGGCTCCAGGGACACTGCCTGAATCTAGTCTTGGCCCTGCGACCTGTCTGCTGTTATGGTCTTAGGTCATGTTCTTATTTTTAAATTGTCAGCTACACTGTTCAAAGGGATGTGGCTACACGGTAATAAACGCTGCCGTGCCTGCAAAGCAAAAATGCTACCAAGTGCAAGCAGGGTTAGCCTGTGGGCCCCTGAGACCGCCAGCCTCAGCTCAGCATTTCCCGCCTGCTGAGGAGGTTGCTGGTTCGGCTGCTCCGTTGCCATGGTGAAAGGCCAGCCTTTGCATGCTGGTGTGTGCAGTTTTTACCATCTACAATGCAAGGTCCCTGAGGGTTAGACTGGATTTTAACGTGTACTTGGTGAGCTTCTCTAGCCCATAGCACCAATCAGGGCTGAGCACAAATTAGGTGCTCAGTCTCAAAGTTGACAGCTTTGATTCAAATTTCCTTGGACAGACCCACCACCTAGAGTGTGACGGCCTCACCACAGCGGGAGGACGGTGGAAAAGCCAAGCCTCCGTGTTCATCCCCTCAAATATGACCTCTAGTGGGAAGGGCACTCCTCGAGACCTCAGCAGTGCTGGCCCAGGTCTTGGGACCATCCATCCACTAAAGCCCACAGACCTTCCCACTGGAATAAAAATCCACCCCAAATGAGTGGGAAACATGGTCTTGTTTTGGCTGAGCCAGTCAGATGAGAATCACAATTTGGCAGGCACATCTCAAGTAGGGCTACTGCTTATAAATCCAGTGTGGGATCATCCCTAGACCATTCCAAGGTCCATACCAAGGACCCCTGCTCTGGGGATCGCTGTCGCCAGAGAGGGATCCTCACTCCCTGATAAGAAAGACCTCTCTCCAGGGCGCCTGGGTGGCTCAGACGGTTGAGCGCCTGCCTTCGGCTCAGGTCATGATCCCAGGGTCCTGGGATCGAGTCCCGCATCGGGCCCCCTGCTCCTTGGGAGCCTGCTTCTCCCTCTGCTTCTCTCTCTCTCTCTCTCTCTGTCTCTCATGAATAAATAAATAAACTCTTAAAAAAAAAAAAGAAAGACCTCTCTCCAGCAACTGGAGAAGGCCAGGGCTCACAACTGCCCCAATAAACAGTCTTCAGTGCCACTCCCTCCATGGGTGGCTGGCAAAGCCCCCCACAACCCCCTGAAGGGGTCATCTTTTCATGAAAACCACACTAAGTGGTTGCAGAGATGAGAAAATGAACCCCCTCCCCCATCCGAAGAGCTCATTGCACAAATGTGATTCAGAAAACACATTCTGGACCCTTCCCCTTGCCCCTAACACATTCCCCACCTCTCGGTGCACACATCCACACATCACAGATGACAAAATTTATTAATTCTTTTTGAAATAACCTGGTCCTTGGAGATCCGCTCAGGGCAGTGCCATTGCAAACACTGTAATTTCACATCTGTCACAGTAGAAACAAAGCCAGTTACCAAAGAACTAACTAGAGAGCCCTCAAGTCACTAGAAATGGGTTTGCCTCAGCCAGGCCCATCGAAGGGATTGGAACCAGCATCCCTGGCTCTGACCAGCCCCAAAGAGCCTGGAAAAGCTGACGTTTTCCTTCCAGTCCATCCAGAATAAAAGGCATAATAAATAACGTGTTGCTTGGAGTTTGCAGCTATATGTGGATGTAGCCCTCACGGTGCTCCCAGAATTCTCAAACAGAACCTTGCTTGATGGTCCAAAGGCTCGGTGGGTGCCTCCTGCAATCACCCCAGGTCACGCTGAAGCATGCAGTGAGGGGGGAGGTGGCACAGGAAGGAAGACTCTTGTGAGAACCCCAGATCCAGTTCACTGTTTGCCGGGTGGGTCCCCCTTCCCGGTGAGTATGGAATCATGCATTCTATCTTTGGTTTCGTGCCTTGGCGGCTTATGCCTTTGGAAGAGTGGTGCCGAGGTGTGAGAGAGAAATGGACCGGGGTCCAGATAAAGGACACCCACACGGGCTCTCTCCTGGAGACACCCAGAAGCCCAGGGCTCTCTCCTCGACTTTGGGAAGAGAGCCCTTTGAGGCCTCAGCACCCAGGGTTGCGGTCCAGCTGTCGAAGCATGCCCTGGAGGGCTGCCCGCAGCCTGCTCAGGGCCACCACCTCTGCGGAGTGCACTGAGGCTTTTAGGACATCGCGCAGGCTCTTGATGTTCTCCAGGCCCCTGGCCCGGGGCAAGGGGCAGCTCTTGGCGGAGGCCAGCAGGTGGAGAAGGTCCCGGAGGTTCGCCAGGTCATTAGCTATTTGGACCACACTTCTGGAATGCAGACTGGTGAGGATCTGTTGGTAGATGGCCAACATCTGGTTCATCCCGGACAGAGTCCGGACCGACTGGGGCCCAGGAATGAAGTCTAGACCAGCAACCCTTGGTCTGGAGCAGACACCCTGTTGGGAGAGAGGAAAAGGGAGAGCAGGATCTCAGAGAAGTCGGTTCTGCAAGGCCTCGGCGTCTCCCGTGAGTGTGGAGGTCCGCTCTCTTGCTTGCCTCCGGTCCCACTCACCACCCTGGCCCAGGCCCTTGTTTCTTGGGCCCCGGGGCCGCCAAGCTTGCAAGCTGGTCTCCTGGACTTCTGTCTTCCTGCCCTTCCCAAATCACCCTGCCCTCCCCTTCCAGACCAATCTTCGCAATGGCCTCTGCTGTGGAACCAGCCATGGGGCCCGATTTCTACTTAGTTAAGTCTCTTCCCCAGGCACTGAGGTCCTCCTGAAGTGCCCCTCCCCCAGCCATCCTCCCCCCACTTCCACCCCTCAGAGGACTCCTCCCTCCCAGTTTGGTTCTCCAAGGCCTCCCACCCCCTCAGGGATCAAGGCTGGACAACCCCCCCCCAAGAGTGCCCCACCTCACTCTTCGGCTCCAGTAACGCTGGTTACCAGGAGGGGCTCTCCCCTTCCCCACTGCCTGCGACGCTCACTCTTGGCACCACCCAAGCTGGGACACTCTGGATCTATCCTGAGCGGCCCCGTGAAAGCAAGGAGACTCCTGGGTTTCTCTCTATAAAATGCCCAAAACCCTGTCTAGTTCTGAGCTGTCCCTGCTTCTGGCCACCTAACTTCTCCCTGGCTACCCAAGACCACTGTCAGACATGCATAGCGGGCGGGAGATGTGGAAGTTTCTAGATTGCTCCATGCTGGGGGAGCAAGCAGGCTTTTAAGACTAGGGGCTACCAAAAACCACAGCTAAAAACCTTTAATGAGGGCATGCTGTGTTCTGGTTCTGTTGGGGGCCAGGGGGAGGGCAGGTGGATCACTTGCTTTATTTAATTGAATCTCAAAACAACCTTGTGAAGTCCCTTATGATAGTCCCACTATCTAGCTGTGGAAACCAAGGCTTCAAGACACTGAGCAACTAGCTTAAGATTTTACAGAGAGAACAGAAGTGTGAAGATTCACATTCGGTCTTCCTAATTCCAAATACAGCCCTCCTCTGGGAAATGGCTGAAGGTCTAGGCCTGTGGACCCCAGGACTCGCAGTAATAGGGAGAAGCTTCACAGGGCCAGAGTTCAGCTAGGAAAATGCCCAATGCAGGGCACCTGGGTGGCTCAGTCGGTTAAGCGTCTGCCTTCGGCTCAGGTCAGGATTCCAGAATCCTGGGATCGAGTTCCGCATCGGGCTCCCTGCTCAGCGGGAAGCCTGCTTCTCCCTCTGCCTCTCCGCCTCCCACTTGTGCTCTCTCTCTAGCTCTGCTCTCTCTCTCTCAAATAAATGAAATCTTAAAAAAGAAAAAAAAGAATGCCCAATGATAAGCACATTCTAGCGATGAGACAGAGGCTCAGAGGGGATGCAGCTGGGGTTCTGGTCATCTGCCAGTTGGACACAAGGACCTTTATGGCTCCCTCTGGTCCTAGGCACTAGGATTCCCATCAGAGAGGAAGGAGAGGGAGGAGGTGGGAGGCAGAGGGGAGAGGAAGAGGAAAGGCAGCTCTGTTCGTGCAGGAGGGAGGAATCAAGGCTGCCATGGCCCCTACATGAGGCTGCACAGGCCTTGGCTAACGTCTGAGGTCCTGGTTTCCCCATGGGCCAGTCACAGCTCTATTTTGTCTTCTCAGACCCTCCCTACCGGTTGTGAAATGTCATTGATCCTGGCGATAATCGTCCTGATGAGGGTTTTGGTGTCATCCTGAACTTTTTGGATGGGCACGGCTTCAATATAGGACAGACAGGACCAAAGCCACAGGAATCGGCACAGGGATCCGCAACGCATCTTCCTTCCCAGGATGTGCTTCTCGGGCCTGAAAACAGAAGGAACCACACATAGCAAGTCGCTGGTATCTCAGAAAAAACACCCAGACGCCCTGTTACCAACCACATTATCTGATGTGTATAAAAATGAGACTTGCTTTCTGCCATAGCAATCATCCCCTCAGCGTCAAAGACAATTTGTTATCTAGAATTACATTAATGAAATGCATTTCCTCGGGGAGGCAGGGCCTGAGCAATTAATCTACGAAGTGGTGTGGGATGGACCACAGAGCAGTAAGCCAAGGCAGGAGCAAATGGACGTCATGGTGATGATAGGACTTTATTGCACGCTGTGAGGAAGAGAACGGGCTTTTAAAGTCTGGTCTGAACCCAGCCATTTAATAGCTGCCTGACACAAAGCATATCACATAACCACTAAAAGCCCCACCAGCATCTCCTGCAATATACCTATCTCTTGACTTTTATGAGGATCAAATGAGACAATGCATGTGCAAGAGCTTTAAAGGTGTTGTGAAATGTACTCTATTATTATCCTTATTACTAGAGATGATGTTACTTGCCCTCTCCATTACTCTCCCGTGGCGGCCTCTGATGCCTCTGTGATGGCATTTATCACTGGCTTTATTACTTTCTTTCTCTCCCACCGGGAGCCGGAGCGCACCCAGCCCTGGCAGAAGGTCTGTTAATGTGTCAGATACAGAGCCGGGCACCAAGGATACAATCGTGAGCAACAGATGTTCTCCACTCTCGGGTTGCTTATGCTTTCATAGGAGAGATAAACAGGTCCGCAGGCCATTCCAGTACAGGAAGAACAAACTTTTCGAGAAGGATGAGCGCAAGATACCACAGGAGTACAAAAGGGGCTCCCTCGAAGAGGTGTCACCTGAGCTGGGTATTAAAGACCCAGTAGGGGTTAGTAAGAATGGAAAGTGGTTGCCACAAATGGCCAGAAAACAGCTGGTTTAAAGGTATGGAGGCAGGGGCGCCTGGGTGGCTCAGTCGGTTAAGAGGCTGCCTTCAGCTCAGGTCATGATCCCAGGGTCCTGGGATCGAGCCCCGCATCGGGCTCCCTGCTCAGCGGGGAGCCTGCTTCTTCCTCTCCCTCAGCTGCTCCCCCTGCTTGTGCGCTCTCTCTCTCTCTGACAAATAAATAAATAAAATCTTTAAAAAAAAATAAAATAAAGGCATGGAGGCAGGAGAGACTATATAACATGTTCATCCAGAATGATTGACACTTTCGAAGTCATGGAACAATGAATTCTAATATTAGTAATATGCAGATCCTTGAGTAAGCAGCTAAGTTTTAATGAGATACATAAGACAAAAGGTAATACAGTTAAATGTGTGCGAGTCTGTGATCCATGTTGTGTGCATGAGCCTGAAATGATAATCAAATGCAAGTAAATATTAGCATGAAGGTTCCGGAAAAGGCAAAAAAGTTAATCCCTGTTTTTTATGTTCTGCCTCATCTGGGTCTTGATAACAACAGATAATACATTTTCTATCCATAATCATATTAGTATGATTCATATTCTGGCAATATAATAGAAATAAACGGTCTGTTTATTATTTATCATGCTTGATCAAAGGTATGCTTTTAATCTGAATTTTATAGAAGGGGAAACCGAGGGTCAAGAAGATGCACTAACTTGCTCACAGTCAAACAGGTGAGTGGCTGAGTCAGGGTTCTGCTTAACCCAGAGAGGCTGGGGTGCTCTCTCCCCACCCCACAGTTTCTCCAGCCTTTGAGGAGAGCCCCAACTTACAAACCACCCCAATGCTCAACCAAGGTACCTCCTGGGACCATGTCCTTGGAAACAAACACCCTGCTCTAGGATGAAGCTATGGAGATTGTACCCCCGTATCAACTCAAAATCCCGAGTAATTCAGGAGGGGGCACTTCAGGTGTTTCTGTGCTTGCTTTCTCTCTTAAAAAGTCGAAGCTCGGGCGCCTGGGTGGCTCAGATGGTTGGGCGTCTGCCTTCGGCTCGGGTCGTGATCCCAGGGTCCTGGGATCGAGTCCCGCATCGGGCTCTCTGCTCCTTGGGAGCCTGCTTCTCCCTCTGCCTCTCTCTCTCTCTCTGTCTCTCAAAAAAAAAAAAAAAAAAGTCGAAGCTCCCTCTATTAACTCCCGATTACATGAGTAAACATTTCCACCAAATGTTTGTGGAACGGAGTTAAATAGCGCTAATCCCCAGTATGGTTCCACGAAACCCTAGCAAAGGTGGAAAGTATAGTGGTTAGGTCCCAGGGTGTCAGTGAGCCCCTGGGCAAATACTTAACTTCCCTACAGCATCCGTTCCCGTGAGTAAAATGGAACAAATAAAACCACCTGGTGGAAAAGGGTAAATGAGATGGACCTGTCAAGCCCCTGCGTATTGTGCTTGTGTGCCGAAGGGTGGGGGGAGAGGTCAGCCATCTGGGAATTGTGTGATTACCAGGCAGGGCCTGAAACACTGGGCTAACACTGCCTGTAGCCAACCCTGAATCTAGCATTTGGCCCACTGCCTCCCCTGGGCCATCTCCACAGGGTGCCTGGCATTTCTGGGTGCTCCCCCTGCAGCACAAGATTGAATGGTACCCTTTTGTAGGATTCTAGTGTAATGACACCCTCCTTCCCGGGAGAATTTATTACCAGATTAACTCTGGGCATAGTCGCTCTCGCATAATGGCCACCCTGTAACACCTGAACGGGAAAACAGTTTTATAAGCCCCTCTATCAGCACTGATAATATGCTTCAGTAGATATAGAAAATACACTGTAGTTCCTCGAAATGGGGAATTGAGAAGCTGCTGCTAAATCTGCCTAAGAGGAGGGGCCAGATTTAGGGGAGCTCCGTAGAGAACCCATAACAAGTCCATCTGAGGTCAAAGTGGTGGAGAGAACGAGGCCCACCAACATACGCCACACAACATGTGTGCTCACATACATAACACACAGCATATGCACACACACGAACACATCAACACACCGAACCCTTTTAGTAGAGGCTGCTAGTTGTCTCCAATATCTATGCTTCCCTTCTTACGCAGTAATAGAATATCCAAGTTTAGATGGTGATGTGCCATCCAGAATAAATACTACACTTCCCAGCTTCCCCCAACTAGGTTTGGCTATGCCAATAAGCCTGGCCAATTAAATATCAGCATGGGTGCTGGGTGGCAGCTCTTGGGCTGTGTGCCTTTGCCTCTTCCTCTTTCATCCCTCCCTGCGTCCCATGCCTGGATTGTGGACGCAGTAGCCGGGGTTCTGGCGCCATCTTGAATCATGAGGAGGAGAGCCTCACCTTACAAATGGTGGAATGGGGAGCCAAGGTGACATACTGGCCTCAGACTGCCCATCCCTGGACTTGTGCTGCACGTGTGAGAGAGACATATCCTCTGTCTTGGTTAAGCCACTGTTATTTGGGGTCTCTGCTAAATGCAGCCAAACTTAATGCTAGCTGATTCATACACCTGGACATGGGCATCAGGACAGAGTAGATGTCAAGTGTTCCTGGGTTCCCCTGAGTGTCAGGAGCCGGGTGGGGACTGGCTGTGGCCCAAGAAGGTGGTGTAGATGGCTGGTGAGAGCAGAGTTTAGGGACTAGAGAGGGGAGGGATAATTCAAGACAGCAACTACAACTTCACTAAGCACAGTGCCTGACACGTAATGGTTACTCAGTGGATAGCAGATGGTTGACAGCTAACGTGTACTGATCGCCCACCTCGGGCCAGGTACAAAGACGAAAAGGACATGGAACCACAGGAAGGTGGGAATCAGGACTAGGGAGGGATGGGGCTGAAGACTGCTGGGTTTCCCCAAAGCCCAGGGAATATACCGCAGTATTTAATGTTGTCAACTATTAACATATATTATTTCTTAGAGATAAAACTCAAGAACAAAACTGTGCTCTTGAACAACCAGTTTACATAATTAGCTCCAACTCCAGGAAGAATGTAAAAGCTTTTTTTGTTTTCGTTTTTTTTTTAGGAAGGATGTTTAAACATGCCCAGGGTAATTCATGGGAGGGAGATGTGTATAAAATTATGAACTCTGGAGTTCAGCAGAACTCTGCTGGAGTTGGAGTACAGGACCTTGGACAAGTCTGCCAAACTCTCTCAGACCATTGTTCTTAGCTATAAAATGGGAATGATACAAACTGTAATTCCCACCTGAGGCTGTTCTGTGGATGAAATGAGGTAATGTATATAAAGTGCTAGCTCCTTGCCTGGCCTATGGCCAACCCCAATACACATGAGCTGTTATCACCACTATTTCCAGCTAAGGAATCAAGGAGGCATCTTGGAGGAGGTGGCATTTGATAAGGGCCGTAAAAATCAGGAGGAATTGGGTTTATGAAGGTGGAAGAGAGGAGCAGTCCAGCCAAGGGCTCAGAGGCTGAAGAATGCCTGTGAACTCAGGACACGGGCTCACAGCCGGCATGGGAGTGATGGGCCAGGAGGTGGGGTGGGATTGGGCCCCGAGTGCCGCGTAGGGAGGCTAGGTTTCTTTTGCGGAAGTGAGGAGCTCTGACTGTTCCCAGGCTAATGCTTTCAGCCCAGGTGACAAGAAGGATGGAGATGGAAATTGGCAGAGGCACAGGGAGGGAGTTGCAATGCCTCTGATTTGCTGTTTGCAACTGGTGGGACCTCAGGTGGACCCATCCAGCTGACGGTTGGGATTGGCAGTCACATTCAGAAAAACAGGGCTGCAGATGTAGACCCAGGAGTGCCCAGGTGGAGAAAGCTGAGGTGAGAGGAACGGGGAGGAGAGGTGATTGTCAGCCAGCTGCCTGGGCGGCAAAACCTTTCTTCTCTAGAAATTTCCAAAATGGTTTTGAACATTTAGGAGCTGTCATTTTGTGAGGGTTAAAAGATGAACCATTGAAATGTTGATACAACATCCTGTCTCTTTTGTTTCTCTCTGCCCATTATTTAAGTAGATCCTGGGGAGGGAGATGGGCACTGTGGGGGGAGGTGTGGCCAGTGGGCCGCATGCACACTGGCCAAGGTCTCCCCTTCACTCTGCTGCTCCCTGCCCCCACCCCTCTGCTCACCCTCACCCTCTGGCCCTCCTGTTCACTAGCTTTTGCCTCCTGATGCCTTCCCTCTACTTTAATTAAGACCCTGACACCCCCCGTCATCTCTACCAGCATCCCCTGCCATGGGTACACTGGAGAAGGAGAGAGAAAAACCAGTGCTCCCAGGGCAGCACTAGAAAAGGAAATACCACCACAGAAAACAGTTCCGAGGCCAGCAGGAGAGGCTCCTATAACCACACCTTCCATCCGACCACATCCTACTCTCTGAGTTCACCTGGGGCCTGGATGCTGGCCCCAGCTCTATTCATCCTTATCTGATCCCCCTCCCCAACCCTGCCCCACCTGTATGCAGGCCCCCCACCTCTGCCTTCTCCACAGACAAGCTCATCTCCTATTTCCCCAAGAAGCTGGTGGCCTCCAGATGTGACCTCCTTCACCTCCACTCTGGTCCTAGGGGTTGAGGCAGACCACGTGGAACCTCTCTGTCAAGATAGGGGGAGGCTTCTCCAGATCCAGGCTGGAAGGTTTGCTGGGCCAAGGTCAGGCCTGCCTACAGCCTTCTGATGATAGCAGTGGGCAGGGAGGGGGGGCGGCGGAGGGTGGGGAGAGCTTAGGGACACAGAGGCATTTGCTGGTGAAGGCTGCTAGCCTTGAGCTATCCAACGTCACATGTCTTCTCCTGGTTGAAAGTGCCAGAGGTTAGTAGGAACCCAGCACGCGCTTCTCTCTTCCTTCTTCTCTTCTCCAGCCATTGGGATTTCTATACCTCCCTCTTCAGTAATCCTCAGTGTGCTAGTATGAACTAAATTCAGATAATGTGGTATTTGCTGTTAATTATGAGGGAAAAAGCTTTGGATGGTCTAAGCCTCTCCCTGCAGAAATTCTTCCTGTGGTCTCCCTCCCATCCTTTCCTTCTCCTCCTTTCCTTCCTTTCTCCATAATTCCAATTTGGAAGGGACTTGGGTACAGGGAAAAAACAAAGGATGAATAGAGACAGGGAAGACCAGATCTTGGTCATTCAAGCTACTCAGAATCCAGTGGAACAAACAGAAGCTAAAATAACTCATTTTAACACAACCTCATCAAGGTTATGAGGGAAGGAGCATAGAATCTGGGGAGCACAGAGGAAGGTGGTAACTCTGGGGAGGTGAGGACAGCCTTGTAAACGAGGCAGTATTTGAACTGAGACCTTAAAGACAGGAGTTCCCCAAGAGGGCAAGCAGGGCATTCCAGACCAAGGCGACAGTGTGGAGTTGGGGGAAACTATGGTGGGTTTAGGAGAATTCAATATGGCAGAAGGGTAGAGCGTGTGAGGCTAGAGAGCTAGAATGTCCCAGGCTTGATTCCACCTCGTGGGGGATCTGCCCTGTTCTGAGCACGCACGCGCACACACACACACACACAGGTCCTGGAGGCCCTGTCTGCATGCCCAGTGGTAGTCAAGAGACCAAGAATACTCTTCTCCTCCCTTTCCGTATCTCTTCCTCTTCCAAGGCCTGATTAGGTCAATGGGCATCTCTCCCAGGAATTGAAAGTGGGGCTTCAGAGAGCCCAGTTTGTCTCTACTGAGGGCTCAGAAGCTCCAGGGTAGCCGTGCTTGCCTTCACGTGCGTGGAATAGCCGAGAAAGACCGGAGTTCATCCTGTAACTGGTGGGACAGTCAGTGGCTGCGCTCCTTCCTGACCTTCCTTCTGGTTCCTGACCTGGGTGGTTCTGGGCCCTCCCTGTCCTTAGCCTCCACTGTGAGATACTCTTCCACATATACTCACTTGAGTATGTTTCAACTCTCTGAATATATTTTTAGATATAGATAAACACATGTAAGAGGAACGAGGGTCAAGAAATCAAACTCACCCTTACAACGAGTGCTGCACTCTTAGGAGTTCTGTTTTTTAAATGTTGGTTGCAATATATTGTTTGAAACACTGAGCTAGCATGAGTGGTTTTCTCTTCTTTGCAACTGAGAGCCTTGTCTGAGAAATGTTCACACACATAACCAGCAGCCAGAGTGGGGGTGTGGGGGTTACATTCTTCCTACTCATCACAAACCACCCTTAGATCTGATCCCCATCATGGATAACAAATAGGTTTCAATTCCAGTGTCAACTCTGATCAACTTTCCGCGGCTCCCTGGCGCACTGTGTGCATGGGGAACCTGAAGCTCCATCCAGCCTCAGAAGAGAGGGTGCCTCGATCAATTAGCACTGTCTGCCAGGTGCAGGAGGCATGGCCATGCTATTTGTTCCAGCATCTCCCAAGGGCCTAGCACAGAGCGGGTACTCACTAATATTTGTTGAAAGAATAAATAAAATGTTTCCCATCTCTGACCTTCATTGTCTAGCCAGGTTAACCTACCTCTATCATGGTTCACTTGCCCTGGTCTCAAAGTCACATTGTAGAATTCCCTTTTGCCCAGCCAGAATCCCTAGGAAACTTTCTTAATGAAGGCAGAAAACACTTTGGCTTTCAGGTTTCCCTTTAACAGTGACCTTGGTTGGCTTCCTGCACCTCAGGTGTGTCCTCCAGCACCCTGTGGGTCCCCATTCCTTTCAGCTTCCCCGGTTCTGCTCCATCCTGATGGTGGTCCCAGGTGCTCCCTGCCTTAGTCCCATTCGTCAGCCTGGCTCCAGCTGCTTGCTTTGGGCCTCCTGCGCTTCTCAGAGACCTCTCCCCCTCCTCTCTGTGGCTGCCCCCCCGAACCGCCGCCTTTGAACTCCTCCCCAGCCCCGTGCACCCCAGAGTACAAACACAATGTGCACACCGATGGGGATGAGATCAGCAATGAAATCAGTGAGACGTAGGCATTGACACGGATCACGCATCTGGTTTTGGGGAGCTGACAAACTGGGCCGGAAAGACTGTAAAACACAGTTTGCTGAGAAGGAAGGCCCATCTGTTGTCACACATGGAATAAGTGCCTGAGCCCAGGCATCAGGTGTGTTGTTTCTAAGCAAAAACAACCTCTTTCTATTTCTCTGAGACAACTGTGTGGTCAAAGAAGAATTTCGAGGCTCCGGGCTGGCAGGCCGGGATGGAGCTGCTACCACAGAATCCTACTGCTGGGGAGGACAGAGTCTCCTGATTGACTGGACAATTGCAGGACAATTTGGCTTGCTTTTCCTTGCAATCACATGCATGCTGTTCAAGGATGCACACCCCACAAGGACTCTACTTCCGGGAAGCCCCTTCTCTCTCCCCAACTCCCACGTCCCTTCGGGTGGCATCTAGGCTGGAGTGGGGGACAATGACCTGGGTTCTGCAAGGAGAGTTCTCCCAAGTGGCCACCTCTGCGCCCTGCACGGGCCACTCAGACATGAGAGGCATCCGCCTGGGGCTGAAAGGCAGGAATTCATTGCAATCTCCCTGGCTCTGTCCTTGGCGCTTGGAGCCATTTCCTGGAATGGGGCGGGGGGGGGAATATTTCCCCCAAATACCGAGAAGAGTTATTTTGGGCATAAGATGTACAAAATATGAGAAGGACGCTCCTTTGGCCAACATGGACACGTTCCCCTCAGCCGAATGTCCTCAATTGCTAGAAAAGGGAAGAACCTAAAAACATCCAGTTTTTCTCTTGCCTTCTCCCCCTACCTAAATGAGAGAAATGATCTGCATGGCATCTCTGCTCCTGGGGACACGGGAATGGCAGCGACTATGATTCTGTAGACCAGCCCGGTGGGAAAGAGATTGGGTACCCTCTCTCCCACCAGTCCCAGCTGACGGCTGCCCACCTCAGAAGGCTACAGACCAAACTTCCCCGTTGTAGTTCCTACAACGGGGGTCACGGAGCTGGGGCTCCTGGGTTGGTGCCTGCAAGTACCTGCCCTCTGCCCCGCCCACCCTGAAGACCCTTCTAGCAGAAATCAATCATCTCACCCACTCCAAAACTGCTATTCTCAAAGGACAACCAGGCCACTCCTCTTGGATCTAGCTGTATGTAAGGATTCACAATTCCAAAATGCCACCATCTTGCAACTATAGAAACGGGAAGGTAAAGGCAACCACACCCACAATGCAATGTAAACCAGGCCGGGAGAGAAGGCGGACTCTGCCTGGGGCCTACCTGCCAACAGTGGGTATTTGCGGTCCTGACAAGAGAGCCGGTAACAGTGAGAAACATGCAGTAGGCCTCTCCGCGACCCACTGCTCTGTCAGCTCAGAAAACCCCAATTTCTTCCATTGTCAAGAAGGCAATTTGCTTGGCTTTGAGGCCAGATGTGTGAGACTCGGCAGAATTTCTCCGAGATATTTGGGTTCTTCCTGACAGTTTTCCCTCCACCTCTACCCCACAGTGGTCCTGTTCCTAGGCTTTGGCCTTACACAGATCCTCGCATTCACATATCAGAGATGAACACCCCCACCGGAAGATGGTGCGGGAATTCTTAGCCGCAGAGCGAAGCTAGTTCCCAGAAACCGAACGCTCCTACCCGAACCCCCAGCACCCGCGACTCTCTCCCCTTCCGAGGGGGGCAGGGTACCCTGATCTTCGGGGATGTGCTCAAGGCAATTTCCAAAGCATCTCAGCAGCTGGGCTGACGGCTCTGACTGTCTCCGGGGATCCTGGCTGCCTCCATGGCACAGATTCCTGCTCCGTGGGCACGGCACAGCCCGGCCCCGAATCCAGATCTCCCCGGCCGCCTTCCCTCCCGTTTGAACTCTGGGACAAAGCCGCCATAGTCCAGAACCGAGCCGTCTGTCCTGCCCCTCGCCCGCCTCAGTTTCCCCCGCGTTCAGCGTCGGGTGGGGTGGGGCGGCTGGCCAAGAAAGACCGGCAGAGAAGGAAGAAGGAGCGTGCCCAGGCCTTACCTCGCAGCTGCTTGCTCCGCGATTCCTCCGGGGCTCCATGCCTGCCAGCCCCTCTTATAGCTGCCCGAGCACAACTTGCGCAACTGGTTGGCAAGCCCGGGCGCATCCTGAGCGCCTGCTCCCGCCCCGCCCTGCCCCGCGGCGTGGGGCAGCGTCCGGCCCGCTGGCTGCGGGGCAGGGGCCTCGAGGG